GTTGCAATGACAATTTGGCTCAACAATGTTGTTCGACATGCCTGGATGTTTCATGCCTAATTCCCCCCCTTAGAAAAGTGGAATCAATCAAGATAAGTATTGTTAGGGTGTGAATGAGTTATCATATTTAGATGTATAATTGTCAGAATAGAAATCATTTAAAAAATACACCCATTTTGTTCTTGTTGGTTATCTTCCGTTGTGTGACAATAAAGTAATAATATATTTATCATGACAGTCTGTTTCTTTATTCGTGTATTTGCTGCCATACGGTAAAATTAGAGTTAACCAACCTGCAATAACTAGTAATTACTATGCATGCCAGCTTAGTACGAGCCACATCCTGGAAACGGCTCGTTCTGATCATTCTTGCACAGTTTTCACACAATTGTCGCAGCTGGGACAAAACATCAAAAACGCGGAGAGCGTTCGTGTATGCAAGACATTGTGGAACAGTGCCTGGTTCGGGACACACCCCCAGGTTTCTCGGCTTTCTCTGAGAGATGCACCATTACAGTGGCGGATCTAGGGGGTGGGTTCTTGGGGTCCGGATCATTAACCAAAATCATTAACTTAGTCTGGCAATTTTAAAGTTTGGAACCCCCCCCCCATAAAAAAGTCCTGTATTCCCTGCATTTGGTTCAACAAGTCCAGTCTGTAAAGTATCTTGGCAATTATCTTGATGTATCTCGTACTGAAAGGACTTTCATTTGCTTGCTACACTAACTAGCAGGTACCTATCATCGTTCCATAATGAATTAATGGTTTTTGGACAGCTGATTTGTTGGTACATGTCCAAGTTGTTAGCATGAATGGCCATTATTTCTTAGTTGTGATTTTTCTCTAACTGCTCAAAAACCGGGAAGAAGGATGAGAAAGCGACTGGCAATGTAAATTGGCCAAAATCAACAAAATACATGTCGAATTGTGATTTGGAAAAGCTTGAACTGGAGTACTACCTCCCATCCATCTAGTTTGCAAAGAACTGAGGGTAGATTGGCTGGTTAAGATCTGCTTGGTATCTCGATGCCTGGGAACTAATCAGCAATTTCCTAGAAGGTATAACGCTACCTGGTTGATGACCCCAAATTCACAGCTGAACCAAAGCAGCAACAGAATACCACAATTTCAAACCTATCTGAATCTTCCATTGGAAATTAGTTGTGATGCACTAGAAACAGACAATCTTTTTAGCTCCGCTGTCGACTTTGTCGAGCGGAGCTTATCATATGAGTGATTGTCCGTCGTCGTCCGTCGTCGTCCGTCGTCCGTGTCAATGTTTTACTTTTTCGACTTCTTCTTGAAAACTACAAGCCTGAATGCTTTGATATTTGGTGTATATGTACCTTGGGTAGACCTCTCTCAGATTTGTTCATTTCATGATGATATCTTCAATTCTCTAATTTTGGTGAATATTTTTGTCATTTTTAGTAAAAAGTGATATTTTCAACTTCTTGTTAAAAACCGCAAGTCCAATTGCTTTGATATTACATATATAGGTACTACATGTGGACCTCTCTCAGATTTGTTCATTTTGTAATGATATCTTTAATTCTCTAATTTTGGTGAATATTTTTGTTATTTTTGGTAAAAAGTGATATTTTCGACTTCTTG